GGATCTACGAAGTTCAGATTCCTCCAGGTGGGTGTTGTTTGGAACTGGCTGCTGTGCTCCACTTCTTTCTGCTGCAGGCGTTAGAGTTGAACCCTTTGTGTCTCTCTGGGAAGATTTTCTGCTCCTGAATCAGCTGGGTGAGTCTTGCCTCTAGCCTCTTCTGCTGAAGGTTTCCCTGCTGGGCCTGCAGCCTGGGTCGAATGAGGATCCGCGGGCCTGGGTCGTCTCACTCACTCACCGGGCCTGCGCTCTGGGTCTATTTTTTTTTTTTTTAAGAAAAGTTTTACTAATGTGTTAATATTTCAGCAAAGTTATTACAACGGGTTTAAAAAGCAGAGAGACACACTGTTATAGGCTATAAAGTAATAAAGGAGTTTTATACAATTAAAATATTACACAGACCTATGAGATTTACTGAATAACTACCAGATCCAGAAAAAAAAATTAAATCTGAAAGTTAAATCTAGTATTAGCACCTACAGTATCTCTGAAAATAAAACTTTTAACTGCTTCATTCTTTCCTAATATGTGCTTAACTTTCTCTCTAATACAGTGCTCTCAAACTCCCAAAAGAATGAAGGGTCTCCAACACTATTATGGGCTACTGGACTCTTTTAGAATATTTTGCTGAGTCACACACCTATAATATTCAAATGATGGAACTAAACAAAAAAGGGGATACAGATGAATGTCCACTTTGTATCTGTGTATTCAAAATCGTTCGGATAGATAGTTACATTCTCTTAATGAATAGAGGGATTTGTTCTAATAGTGTTTGTAAATAGGATATCATGTCTGCATCTTGTACAACAAATAACCACTAGGAAGGTGGTATGCAATGTGTTAATTATTGAAACTGTCCTACCAATTTGATTTGAAACTGTCTCATTGCTATTCATTTCTCAATAAAATTATGGAAAAAAATTCAAACTTAAAAAAAAAAAGAATGAAGGGTCTCAGAAACCCAATACAGACAAAAGAACAGCTAGGGATACAGACTCAGACTGAGGGTTTAACTTGTAAACCACTTAACTTTAACCAATCATCATGTCTGTGCACTGAATACTGTATATGTAGAGTCTATGAATCATGTTTGCCAATTGGGTTAAAAATTAGCTATAGCATTAGTCCTATCAAATGTTTCCCTCATAAGTTATGATTATAACAAAACTATAATTACAATATGTATTACACTTGCTTATTACACACTCAGGGACACAGCAGACATTTATGTGTTTGTTGGTTTAGCATCCACTTTATTGTGCTTACTTGTGGAATGAACAAACAACACAGACCACATCTTCCCAACATTCAAGGTAATGAAATAATATAAAAGTCTCCAAAGAAATTAACTGGAAATTGCATTAAATACTGCTTTAATTAGGAATAGTTGCTATAATGAGACAAATCACATTATACATTTTCTTCCATGAACTTCAGTTCAACAAACTGAAGAGCACTCGAAATCCATGTTAGGATTTGAATCACAGCAAAATGGAGAGTTCTGTGAAATCTGGGAGCTGCGCTACCAAAAACACAGACATACCTAATTCCACCTGGAAGCAAGCTTTTATTGAGGGGAATCAGACTGAACACTGTCGAAGACAGGACATGTTGAAGTCAGGAGCCACCTGGGAAACTGGCCAAGAAATAAAGTACTACTAGTGGCAGGGAAGAAATAAAACTGTACTGGGTGACCAAATGCATATTTTACTAAATGACTCTGAATTTTAAAAATGAAGTGCCTCATTGTGTTTTCTTAGAAATTCATCAAAAGATTAGAGTCCTGCACAACTTAGAGACACAAAGTGGATGCTGAGCAACTAGAAGTCACCCCAGGGATGGAATTTTAGAAAGTTAGTCCTTGGAGTAAAGGGCACCATGGCTCTGGCAGCAGATACAAAGGAACGATGCTTGGAGACGAGGTAGGGACACTCTGTGGTCAGTCAGTGGACAGACGGGGGTCAAGCAGGAGGGACTGGCTGGCATGTGGTGCTGGGGGATTGAACCGCGGTCCCTGTGCTTTGCTGAGCTTTTTCTAAGTAGGTGCTTTAGACCACTGAGCCATCTCACCAGCCCAGGAGGTGGGATCTTTAAATCAATGGTTTATCTTCCACTGCTCATGCCTCTGTCTTCATAAATGGTAATTTCAATAACTCGAAGTCCTCTCTCAATGGGGTCTGTTAGAAGGAGGCCTTGGGGAGCATATATCTTTTCATTTTGTTCTTGAATATACTTGGAAACTTTCTTCAGAACCTTCTCATAATGGGTTTCCATACATGAGAAGATGGTGTATGCTGTTAACCATGCCAGACAGCCTTCGAGATAGGACTGGCCCCCGAGCTTTTCTGCTTCTGCATAAAGGTTAGAGTCCGTACAGTTTCTTCAAACTGCTGTCTATCAGTCCAGTTCTCCAGCTCCGCAGGGAACTTGGTCTGGGACTGGCAGCGTGTGCCACTGCTGTAGTCTCGCTGAATGAATACCTTCCCGGAAACCAGCGCCTGTCCTGTCTGGCCAGGACGGGACCAGCCGTGCCGGCTCCTCTGCCCTCCAGCAGCTGTCGCTCCACCTTTGCCGTCACTTACCTCTTTTACAAATTTTAAAGAAAAATATCTAATTTGTCTTTATGGATGTCAAAATGTTATTCCATCATTTGGGATGAATAAATCCCAAATGGGGTTACCTTAATCATACCCATCATGTCAAAGACATATTTTGTGAAAAGAACATTTACTCTTGGGCTGGCCAGATAGCTCAGTGGATTAAAGCTGCCTGCTTAGGCAGGTGCGGGGACCTGAGTTCAGTCCCTGGAACCACATGCTGTGCTGGCCCTGCCCCTGGGGTGCGTGGTGACAAATACCTGAATTCCAGCACTTGGGAGACTAAAAACAGGAGCTCACTACTAGTCCGATCTGTGTAGTGAGACCCTGTAGTAAATATATTAGAAAAACCAAACATTTATTCTTGGTGATTTGGAAATGTACATTATTGTGCATGGTGTGCATCAAAGAGGCCCAGGAGTTCTCAAAGAGAAGAAATGTGATTTTTCTTGTCTCTTTAAGACTAGGACCCCTTTAACCATCATCCCCCGTGTCATGTGCCCCCTCCCATAACTTTAAAAAATTGTTTTAAAGTTTTTATTATTTATTTGATACAGGATCTCACTCTATACAGTTCAGACTCTTAGTAATCCTCTAGTCTCAGCCTCCCCAGTGCTAGGATTATGGGGATGTAACACCATGCCCGGTTTGGGGGCTGGCGCCCAGCTCGGCAAGGGTGTCTGGGATGGAACCCAGGTCCTTGCGCTTGCTAGGCAGGTGCCTAGGCCGCTGAACTATCTCCAGTAACTTTTCTTTCAGTCTGCTTCTGTGATGGCTGTAGATTCCACACATGGGAGCCCTCGCGGTCCTGCATGTTCTTTCTGTGCCTGACTTCTCTTGGCTCAGTGTCTGCCAGTCTCATTTATGCTGTGGCAAACTCACAAACACCTTTATTTTATAGACTGAATACTATTTAATTTTGTGTGTACGTTGTATCGTGTGAGTGTGTGTGTGTGTGTGTGTGTGTGTGTGTGTGTGACTTGAACCCAAGGCCACATCCTAGCCCTTTATGTTTTATTTTAAGACAGGGTCTTACTAAGTTACCTAGGCTGAGCTCCAACTTTTTATTTTGGTAAATACCCAGAAGTGGGATGGCTGGATTTACTGACCCAGTTTCAATTGCTGTTTTTCCTAATTACACACTTCCTGTTTTTCCCTCGGATGAAGCAAGCATTTGCTCATGAGCAAGGTGAAGAGGTCGCTTAGCACGCCCGAGGTGGAGACCTGGGAAGCGGAAGAGGATGACATGAGGGAAGGTGACCTGGGCAACGGCCTTGGATGGAGCCCCGGCAGCCTCGCCCAGCTGGAAGTCTCGGAAGCCCTTGCCTCTAGACGACCAGAGGGAAGGAGCTTCAGCCCTCCTGCACTGCCGGGAGCTGAAGAAAGCAGGACAGCTGTCTTCCAGCGTTTCATGCCCAGGAGCCTGCAAACCGCCTGCTTTCAGAGACCCGAAGCGGGCAGCTGCAGCCCCGCAGGGAGGCTTGGTAAGGATGCCACCCGCTCCTCCCCCTCCCACGTGCAGGTGCCCAGCAGATGCAAACAGAAACCGTGCAGGTTTCAGAGAGTCATCTTGGCTCACCCTTGTGACAGGAGCTCAGCCATGACACAGAGGGAACTGATGTGTTTCCAACCTTTGGGCAATATGAACTACAGTAGTTATTCTACGTTATTAATACATGTGTGTATTTGTTTCTTAGTGGTAACAGTTATCACCTACCTTCAGTTTTTTTTTTTTTTTTTTTTTTTTTTTTTTTTTTTTGGTACTGGGGATTCAGCACAGGGCTTTCACACTGAGCTGCATCCCCAGCTCATCTTTTATTTTTTATTTTGAGACAGGGTCTTGCTAAGTCACTGTGATTTTTTTTTTTTTTTAATGTATTTGTACAGGGTCTACAGGGTCTCACACCGTAAATCTGACTCCTAGAGATTCACCTGTTTTGAGCCTCCCAAGGAACTACAGGCTTGTACTGCCACGCCCAGTCTCAATCACTATCTCAGCGCATCCCAGGGGCAGGACCAGCAGGGCATGCTGGGGATCAAATCCTGGCTACGCTCTGCCTAAACAGGCGCTTTAGTCCACTGAGCTATCTGGCTGGCGTTTGTCACTGTGGTTTTAACACAGGGCTCAAACTTGTGATCCTCCTGCCTCAGCTTCGAGTACTGGTGTTGTAGATATGTGTCACCATGCCTGGTTTCTATCTTGCTTTTCATAGGGATCTCTCTCTCTCTCTCTCTCTCTCTCTCTCTCTCTCTCT